AATATATATATATATATATATATATATATATATATATATATATGTTAACATGGTAAAAATTTATCATGAGATACATATTATTAACACTTTAATGTATAAATTTTATACACAAACATTTAATTTTCTTACTTTTTATGTATAACTATATCTATATATATATTAAAAGCCAACTTATTAACCAAAAATAGTAGCAAGAAAAGTCAACACACATTTAATGCATACTTTATTTGGAAATTTTTTACTATATGCATTAAATGCTTGCATATTTACATTTACTATCCAAATATGATCTTAAAGATTTTTTCCTTAAATAATTTATGCAATGATTTTACTGATATCCATTATAATTAATATTTGTCGAATAATATTTTTAAACCTTTATTTAATTATATAACACTAATATTTTTTTAAAAAATTATTATTATTTATTATTTAAAAGATAATGATCACATCATTAAATGATTTTATTGATGGTTAGATAATAAAATTATAGTTATTCTTTAAAATTTCGACATGTTATTTATTTGTATATTATTGTTAACTATGATAGTGTTTTTATCACTTTTCTTTGTTATGTTTCAAAAATGAACTTATTGTAAAATATTTCTCTATTGCATAGTATGTTAAATAAACCATAAAGCCTTAGGATGAAAATTAGAAAAAATCTCTTGATTATGTAAGGGATTTATTTTTTGGCAATTGCTAAATCATTTTTTTTTTTAAAAAAAGAATTATTATGAGAAAATTGAATTCTAAAAAACATGTGTGTGTATTTTGTAAATATTTATACTCAAAATTTTATTTTGAATTTCATTACATAAAGAAGATTACTTCTATAACTTTTATAAATAATAATAATTACATTATATGACTGTAAATTTTATAATAAAATAATAATTGAGTATTATATGGTGAACAATAATTAATAAAATTTTTTTTTTCCTATATCAATGAATAAATATGTATTCTAAAATCAAATAAATATTAGTATGACATGTTAGCGGAATTATATATTAATTAACATATTAATTTTTTGGCTTAAATAAACTCCACTTATTAAAAGATGTGAAATATGGATGATCCAAGTCTATTGTTTTTTTTTTTTTTTGTCTAGACGTACAAGTCGTATAGAAATAATTGATTTATTATATGTATCACGTGCATCGCACGAGGTATGCACTAATAAATAACCTTAAAATTGTGCACTCCGTGTATCACCCGTGTTCACATTTTTGCCTATTACAGGTAACACGTCAAATTATCAGGTCAATTGCTGACCGGATAATTAATTTTAAAATTTTAAAATTATATATAGAGTGTTTTGTCATATAAACTAGTACAGAGCCCGTGCAATTCACGTGGTGCACAATTTTAAGGTCATATATTCATTCTTATAATTATATAAATGAATAACAAAAATGTACGGGTCGATTATCCGGGTTTAAAAACTATGCTATAACCTACTCTCTCCAGTCTCCACCATAAAATTTTCAGTGATAAGTGAAGAGAGCACAAAAACAGATAACCAAACATTTGCAGACCTATCTTCCACTTTCCGGCTCAGCCCAAGAAAATGGCTTGCTACGCCGCAACTTCCGTGGCCGCCCTTCTATCTCCCAACCCCAAAGCTTCGACGGCTGCCAGAAATTCCCTCGCCCCTAGATCTATTTCGCTTGCTTCCTCGTTCTCCGGCGGACACTCCGCCGCCCGCGCAATTCGCTCATTCTCCACCAGCTTGTCCTCCTCCAAACGACGCAGTTTTGTCGTCCGGGCTGTGAGTTTTTCCTGTTGTAGTCTATTATTTTGACCTTTTCCGTCTATGGCAGCATAGTTGTGATGGGAAAACGTGCTGAATTGTTTTGTGTTTCAGTGCTGATGGTTGACTTTTATAGCTGTTAATTTGGGTTGTGAGTTTTGTTTTTTTTGTGGGCAATCGATTATATGTGCCAGTTTTAATTTGCTTAGAGGGGTGTGTGTGTGTGTTCCTCATGCTTAGTCTAGCTTTATGTAGAAGTTGGATTTCCGGGTGTGACGATTGCGAATGCCGGTTTTGTTATTTACGCTTAAAGTCTGAAACTTGGCGGCACAAGTCATTCCCTTGTAGAAAATCTAGTATTGAGTTATTGACAAGATAAAAAGATTCAAATTTTACACTGTTGTTCTTTCTGAATTTGAGTCAACAGAAAGATTTGTGTTTGAGCATCTCTAGTTTTCCACTCATATGGTGATACTTGTAGCGAAAAATGGCGTCATGATGATAAATTATTAACTAGAATTTACTCAACGGTTGGATTTTTCCCGAGAGCCGATTTCTTGTGTCAACATATTATTAGTGACATATGTTCTTGCTGTAACTTTATAATATTTTTGACAGAGTGAAGAACTTCCTCTGGTTGGAAATACAGCTCCAGACTTCGAGGCAGAAGCTGTTTTCGATCAAGAATTTATTAAGGTACTTAACGATTGAAATGATGAATTGCAAGTGGCTACATAATGAGTTGATACATAAATATTTCCACTTCATTTCTGTAAATTATCGTGTGAGTGTATCTGGCTGCATTTTATTTTCCATACACACACACACACACACACACACACACCAATGCATGGAAAGAACCTATTATTTTCATTGACTAAATGGCAAGGTGAATCTCGTTGGTCACTGAAGGCAAGTTGGTCGTTTCATTTTCTATTGTCATGTAACTTAAAAAGGTTCTCTGATGAATGTTTTATTGACACTGAAGTGCTTCTTTCCCCTTCCTCGTCCTTTCCTGCAGGTTAAACTCTCTGAATACATAGGAAAGAAATATGTTATTCTCTTCTTTTACCCACTGGACTTTACCTTTGTTTGCCCCACTGGTGAGTCCTACACCAGTTTCTATGTCTGCTTTATCTCCATATTATGTTTCCGCTGATAACAGCATTTACATATATATTATATTTTATGTAGAGATCACTGCTTTTAGTGACCGATATGAAGAGTTTGAGAAGCTTAACACAGAAGTTCTTGGTGTATCCGTGGACAGTGTGGTAATGCTATCTGTTACGGTTTAAACTGTTTCTGTATGTCAATAATACTATAGATATTTGACTTTTTCTGCGATGTTCAACTGTCTCGGCTGAGCTGTGATTTTCTGTTATCTTGTGAATCCCGTATATCATGATGCTTTTCCTATCTTTTTTTACCTCTACTGGTGATTATTGAATATTACTATAGAGAACTATTATGTTCTAAAGTGGTGTTGATTATTCAGTCAGGTGAGAATCTTGCACACGAGTCTAAAATCTGAATGATCCTAATATTGGTTTACTGAGTATTTGATGATACACAGTTTAAGTTTCCCACCATTACTGATGTATTGTTTATGCATTGCTTATGCCTTCCTTGTAGTTCTCTCACCTTGCATGGGTCCAAACGGACAGAAAGTCTGGGGGTTTGGGTGATTTGAACTATCCATTAATTTCTGACGTGACCAAATCAATCTCCAAATCATACGGCGTACTGATTCCCGATCAGGTATTCTCTTTTTATGTTTTATATAATCCGCCAGTTTCTGGGTTTGCCATTTATTTGATTAAATCCGTGTTAAAATCGTGATATCTCCTGGCTATGGTCCTCTTGAGAATTTTTTGTATCTGCTCTAAGATTTATGTACGAGTGAAAATATCTCTTTCACATCATTAATTCTTATTACGCTTCGGCACACGCCGAACGTGTGAAAAATAAGCAAGAAAAATTAAAGGAATATGCACTTTAGCCCAAGGAGCTCGTTTTTTGTAAGATGAGCACGGAAAAGGAAAAATGAACGTGACGAATAACGAAAGTAGTGAGTCTAAAGAAGATTTGTTGTCATCATTGTTGATATTGTTACAACAGGGGATTGCATTAAGAGGACTATTTATTATCGACAAGGAGGGAGTTATTCAACACTCCACAATCAATAACTTGGCAATTGGTCGTAGTGTTGATGAAACACTCAGAACACTTCAGGTACTCGATTTCTTTTTTCAATCCACAAACACAAATTTCTGGTAATATATACTCATGAGAACACGAAATGAAAATACATAAAAAAAATAACCCCCTGTAATATTAACCTATGTTTGAGGGGGGATGATATTTTCGAGCTCACGTGTTATTCTTTGTGCAGGCTTTGCAGTACGTGCAAGAGAACCCGGATGAGGTGTGCCCGGCTGGATGGAAGCCCGGGGACAAGTCCATGAAACCCGACCCGAAGCTCAGCAAGGAATACTTTTCTGCCATTTAAGCTTTTTGGCTTTGGTCCAGGAACATTATTGTTGTTGTAATTTAGATATTTTGACTTTGAGATTCTTTTTTTTTTTTTTTTCGGTTGAGTTGTTCTCTTTTTTGGGTAGATTTGCTTTGGATTGAACTCTGAGAAAAATTGATTGAATAAAGTGCCCAGACTCCATTCTCCAATCCCCACCATTGTTTTATTTCTTTGATGAACCATAAATTGCATATGAGATTACTGTTAATAAGTTAATGCATCTCTAACTTGGTAGACGAACTTTATGTCCCATATCACCGCCTCCGCCGCCTCAGCTGCCTGGGCCCACCTCCTAAAACACCATAAACCATCCAAAAACACCGCCTCCGCCGTCAGTCGCCGCTCTCCCCCCCCCCCCCCCC